CCGGGTGGGCTTTGGGGAGACCCCCAGAGGCACGCAGCCCCCCCGCCCCCCCGTGTCTCTCCTGCCCCCAGTGGGTCAAGCAACTCTCCCGGGGAGGCAGCAGAGCTGAATGACCCGTGTCCAGCTCACAGGCTTCCATTGCTCACATTCGTTTATTACTTTAAAACACTGACGAAACACATCACACCGTGCTCTATATATATAAATTTACTTTTATACAGATGTAAATTTATATATATAGGACCTTTAAACCTCTGTATACTCAGGACACGAAGTTCCAGAATAGCTTCACTGGCTACAACAGAAGTATTTTTGTTATGAAAACACAAAGAGGAGGTGTGAATATCAAAAAAGCAGAAAAAAATAAATTAAAAACAAGTGCAAAATGAATGAAAGTGCAAAAAAGTTTCTGTTATCAGAATCAGGCTCCTTCCAAAACACACCCCTGCCCTCTCCCTCCAAGGACACGCGAGTCTCAGGCCCCAGAGGGAAGGGGTGGATTGGAGGGAGGGAGCCAGGCCACAACCCTCGGGTCTCCCCCTCACCTCTGCACCAAGGCGTCCCCTCCCAGAGGTCAAGGAGGGAGGAACAGAGGAGCAGAAGTGGCCGAGTCACATCCCTCTCGTGGCTCCCTCCTCTTCTCCCATGCCCCTCACTGCACGCATGTCCCCGGGCTTGCCCCTGCAGGTGGCAGCTGCCCTAAGCCCTCAACCCTCCTAGAAAATCTGCAGGGTTTTTCCCTTCTAAAAGTGTTTTTTCATCGAGAAGGAAATCCCTGGAGGAAAGCAGCTGTGCTCTAGCAGGGCAGGCGTGGCTGCCCTCCTCGCTGAGCTCCAGCCTGGCTGCTCTCACAGAATTGGGGTCCCTGGCCTCACAGTGTCACGGTGCTGCCCACTTCCACAGGGAGGGAGAAACACCCTCCCGAGAGGCGCCGGCTGCCCCCACGCTCCCAGTCACCTGCAGACCAGCTGCCCAAGAAGACACCCTGTGCCCGAGGCTGGAGCAGGGGGTGGGACATCTCCCACAGCTCCAGCTAAGCCCTCCCAACACCATCTGCAGCAGCGGGGCAGGAACGGCCGCAGCACAGGCTTGGGGGCTCCCACCCCAAACCCCTCATTTGATTTGTAAAATTCATCGACTTTGAAACTTTGGCTGCAGCCGCATCTCTCGGGAAGACCCCAGAGAGGAGCCTGGAGGCCAGGCTCTGCCCCATCATCCTCTCCCTCAGCACACATCCCTCTGAGGAGTTTGGTCAGGCAACAGGGGAAGGATGAAAAACTGTGGTGCTTCTGCCTTGGTCACAGCTGCCCCTGATGCTCCCCGAGGGGGGCCTCTCAAGCTACGCTCTGTGGGGATGGAGGACCTGCCAAGGGCACAGCAAGCCTTCCTTCTCCTGCCTTCCAGCCAGGATCACAGACAACTTCTGCTCAGGGACCACCCATTGTCTGAGAGCCTGGAACCAGAGCCTGCTGCCTGCACAGCCACAAGAGACCACCACAGCCACAGGGGACACAGCAGGGGAAACGGCGTCACGGTGTCCCACAAAGGCCCCACACAGGCCGGGTTCAGGCTCCTTGGAAAGGAAACGGGAAGGAGGTTACAAGCTGGAGCAGCGACTGGCCCCTGACCGCCTATAAACCCTGTGGTGCTCTCCCCCAGATGACTCCAGCAGCTTTGTCCTCAAGGGGCCCAGTCAGCAAGAGGCCGACGACCCGACGCCTGGACGGCGAGCGAGCGCACAGGCTCCGGTGTGTCCCCTCGGCCTGCCCGGGGGGCTCCTGATCCTGCTCCTGCTCCTCCAGGGCCCCCCTGAGCCAGCACAGCCCAGGGCCCAGCTCCGGTCCCACCCAGCTCATCCGCTCTCTCTGAGGGGGGTCAAGAGCCCAGCAAGGCAGGGCCCCGTGGTCACAGCCTCCTGCTGGTGCCCGTGGCTGGCACAGTCTGGAGCACACACCGCTGCCTGCCTCAGCAGTGCCCAGGCAGAGCCCGGCCCCACTGCACCCAGCACAGGGCAGGAGCTGGTGGTGTTGCTCACACCCAATCCTGCGGGCCAGCCGTGGCTTGGCTCCTGGTTCCTCTTCCCCTTCAGCAGGGACCTTCTGAACCCAGCACCACCTGTGCTCTCCAGGGCAGCCCTACGAGAGGCAAGGCTCCATCCGTCACGCTAGCTTCAGACCTGACACCCGGGCAGCAGCTCCTCTCCTAGCAGCCAGCGACAGGCCCTTCCCCAACAGGAGGGAGGACTCAGCAGGGGAATGGAGCAGATGAGAACAGGATGCTCTCACAAGATGTTTCCTTACAAGCTCAGTAATCGTGTCCCGTGCAAGGGCTCTGCTCCATTCCAGATCACACCAGCACCGTTCACACACTCTCACAGCTGAAGGTCCCAGGGCTCCTCCTCTTCTCCCCCAGCAGACACTGGCCCAGAGACTCCTTACCAAATGAAGAGACCAACTTCAGGACCATTCACTGCACATCAAGAGTGACTTTGGGGAGTGACTGTGAGCCCAGGGACATGCCTGTTCCTTCCTGCTCCCCCTCTCTCCACAGCTGGACACGATGCAGTGCTCGAAAAGATGAAAAAGATAAAAAAGAAAAGGAGGGAGAACTGCCTAAATCAAAGCCAAGCACTGACAAAACAAACACATGGACTAGTTCCAAGTCCTGTGAGAAGAGCGAGCGGCAGACATCTCACAAGCAGGTCAGATGTGACCCCAAATATCCAACAACAAAGAGTCAAAATGCTACATTTCCTCGGGAAGCTGAGAACGTGTGTGACAGGCTCCCAAGGCAGCGCTGCTCCAGGACACTTTGCTGGTGCACTTGCTCAGGTCCCTTCATCCCTGTCTCTGGGCACTGGGAAAGGGGGAAAAATTGTTTTGCTACTGGTGTGTCATTCTCGAGAAGGAAAGAAAGTGGATGTGGGACTTGGATCCATCTCTGCAGACTCTAGAGAGCCTAGAGGGCAGGTGGCCTCCCTCCAGCACTGCACTGCCACACCTCTGCTCCAACAGCACCCACAGCAGGCGTGCACAGGGGGTGACACCAGCAGGCACTACCAGGGACTATCAGAAGGGCCTGGGACTCTGCCAGGACCACCCTGGCATGCTGGCTGTCCTGGATCTGCAGTCCTGGCCTGCTCGTCCTCTCCTCCATCACAAGGGACAGGGCTACATGGGCTTTCCCAAAGCGCCTGCACCCTGGTTGAAAAGGTGCTTTTTAGTACAAAAGGACAGAATAAAGCCAGTGCACTGCTGAATTTGTTTCAGAGCTGGTGGTAAAGAATCCAGGGACAGAAGAGGATCCTGCTCTTAAGACTACAAACCCTGGGGGCCTTGGGAGGGCAAAAACCATGGAGAAGGCAGCTTGGCAGGATCAAGTCAGCCAACGCAGGGTTGGACTAGATGATCTCCAGAGGTCCCTTCCAGTCCCTGCCATTCTGTGGCTAACTCAGGAAGGCCTTCAGAAGCGAGGGGATGTGCCTAGGGAGGAATGGACCCTTCTTGCCCTTGGTGGCTCTCTCTGCCCTGGAAAGGGCCTTGCTCCCAATATGTGGACCAAAGAGGGCCCAGCTCTGCTTCGCAGAGGGTTTTGTAGTTGCTGCAGGGGGAAGAAGCTCACCAAGCATCCTTTCTCCCAGACAT